TTTTTTCGTTCGTATTTGACAGTTAAACTAAAAGAGAAAACTAGTCCAAATAATTTGTGTACTTACGTGCGTTTCATGGCATTTTTCTCTGCAGCCATTTCAGCACTCTCACGCAATGTTACCATAATATTTGAAACCGAAACGAAAAAACAAAATTGTATGAACGAATCGAAAGTGTACGAGAGTGTCGGTGCTCCGGCTGAGTCATAGACATCTACTTGATAATATTATATGTCGTCGCTGCCGTTCGACTCAATGACCAAAATCATATGCTACTGAAAGACATGGAATAGAGTATATATAAATGAAATCGATTCCTTAATAAAAAATAAATTTCTCACACACAATATAGTATTCACACAGGCACAGGCACAGGCACACAAACTCTATTTTATATATACACAAGCAACAAATCAGAGTTAGTGTCTGGCAATGTTACTGCTATGTGTTTGGCTATTACTTGCAACTTGATGCCCGTTTTCTTCCAAGCAGCATTATTCTCGTCAATTCTAAGGGCTTATGCTATGCTTCTCTCTCCCTTTTTCATCTCCCGATGAGATTGCTCATTACAACGTTTCCACTATATTGACCATTTTCGTGTGATGACATGTTGAGACATAAAGACATTCTGCGTAACATTCCATTCGATAAATCCCATACAACGTTCCAGCATCGGTAGAACGCCGCTCGCCCTCTTTGGGGGCGAAAAAGCGTCTCAAACAGAAGATTCAAGAGTCATCTTTCGACAACTTTTCATTTCCATCGCCTTAATAGCACGGCAAACGGATCCACGTTTTGATTATCATTTTCATGCGTTCGGCATTGTGCAAAAAAATTGTTCGGTACAACATCAATAACAACAGCACCAACGACAAAAAGAGTCGAAAGAAGTAAATCACTTTCATTGAATTTACGCTTTGTGTGTCGGTGTGGAAACGATTGAAAATGGGCATTTATTTTCTTGCTCTTGGGATGTCAAGTGAGAGAGAAAAAAAAAACAGGAAATTCGGTGTAAGTGAATCGTTAATCGGTCGAGCTGTCATCGGGAAATTATTCGCTCCGGAAATTTTTTGCCAACGACACACAATATCTCCACTTTCAATTTTTGTACACGTAATAAATTTGTACATTACAGTGCAAAAGAAAAAGCGGGCCAAAAACTAATCCAGAGCCTAGACGAGAGAGTGAGAAGCGCAAATATGGTTTAACAACGGCAACACCACCAACAACAACGAAACAAATGAATTCGAAAACGCAAGCCCCTGCTAAAAATTCATTTTCTCGTGGGTTTGAATACTTGTTCAATGTTTTTATGTGTATTCGTTTTGTTGAGTATTCAGTGTTCACTGAACCAATTTCTATATGAGCCTTTGCACATGGGAGCAGCAAATGACGACGTGTAATTTAATGCGAATGATTTTTTTTCTTGCTCTGGTCTCGAGAAAAAGGGAAGCAGCAACGTATCAAGTGAAAAAAAAAATACTTTGGGTACACTAAGGAAATGTGCAAGCAAAACAAACCTCCTTCCAAACCAGGCTTTTTCTGGTCTGGCACCAGAAACGAACGAACGACTGTGTGTGTATATATGCTTTTTATTTATGAGCTTTCAAGCAATATTTTTCGTGGTTATTTATAAGAAACGCACACACTCACACAAACACCCAATTGAAAATGTCTCCCGGAGCAACATTTCACACATTCGCTTGCCGGCGTATTTGCGCAAGCATTTCTACTACGTTTTGTTCATATTTTCCCGTTCGCTTGAACATTTATCTGAAATCTTCATTTATCATCCTAATTTGTCTCCATTTGCGCAATTTCCGTGGATAAATCCATTTTTCAGCTATGAATATCCGATTTTTTTTTTGGCTGTGCATGTCTTTTCAATTCGCGCCTGGCATTTATCCGCCACTTCAACCAGAAGCACTTTATCTTTCGTTCAAAGTGCATTTCTTCGTCGCGAAAAAGAATTTCATTATTATAAAATGCATTTGTGCGACAGCTCAGCTATTTCGATGGTGAAAATTAAGTGGTATTTCTGCGAGAGACATTTTATTATTATTGAGCAAAATAACTTGTTTCATTGATCAAAATTCCAATTTGGCGAGAGGGCCGAGTGAGTTAGAGAAGATGGCGCGGCTCATATCTAATGAACTGGATGGAATGACATTATTATCATCAGCAGAATGGCGAAGAAAAAAATGTATGGCAATGACGCCAGTAAGTCTTAATATGCACTATAATTGCAATGTTTTATCATCAATTGTTTGGTCGATGTGCTCATTTGATGGCCGTTGTGTGTGCATTCGGTACGGCTGAAGTGGTCTCAGAGGTATCATTTGGCGTCGACCTATTATCTAACTCTAATTGAGTGGTTTATACACATGTGAAATTGACACGAACGATGACTACAACGACGATGATGATGACGACGACGACGACGACGACGATGGAGAAGAAGCTAGGAAGCGTTGTGCTGTCAAGCGCCTGGAAACAAATGCAACACACACATACATTGTTTTCGCTTTGAATGTTAACCTCTGTTCCTTCAATTATAGGAATTTCAATAATTCATGTTGATGCCTACATCGCACTCGCATGATATTTATCCATTTCAGCTGCACGCTTTCTCTCCCGCTCTCTCTGCTTGTCACTTTTTTCCGTCATCTTGCCGTTTGCTTCCATTTGAATATGTAACCATGTCTGTGTTGCGTGTACAAAATACACTGTTGTTACAAAGTTTTCTAGTTCATGAATATTGATCGAAAATTATGCGTTTTTTTGTTCCTTTATTTCGAGAGAAAAATAGATACCGAGAGACAGAATGTGCTCGAATGGGTTTGACTGTGACAGAAAAATAATTGTTTCAACTTAATCGAATAATCGAATCGATATTTCACGTAATGAACCAAATGGAATTATCTACAAAATGAACATCAAACACTAATGAAGTCCTCAAGCGAACCCATGTTAATATTTCAGTATATCAAAAATTTTCACTGAAAATTTATTACCCGTTTGAGAGAGAAAGAGAAATGTTAAATATTGATTGTCCAACAACAATTCACACCAACCATTTGTACTATGAAGAGGACGCGTCAATTGCTTTAAATCAAATTATGTGTCTTTAATCGATTAGCCAGGCTGTTGCCTTTTTACCATATTTTTTTTACACTCGGCTCAAAACACAGACAAAAAATCTCGGGAAACTGAAAAAAATTGCAACGCGTCAGGTTTTTTCCACGATGTCAACAAACTTTAATCTGATTTGCATTATTAAGTAGCAAAACGGAAAGTGTTTGCCATACAAAAAAAATCCACTGAAGCTGTTTGACATATTCAACACAATCGACACTCGAAGTTTGCATCGAATGGCAGGTCATAGGTCGATCGAATAATTAAAGTCGCTAAAATGAATGAGATTCTTCATTAAAACTTGAGTCAGTCGATAGAGTTACCCGGCCGGCCGGTCGGTCGGCGTCCATTGAAATTCATGTCAATTGAAATTCAGGTAACTGGCCGATAGCGATGACGATGACGATAACAATGGTGATAAATGAATAAATAAATAAAAAGCACGCTAGTAAATAAGGATTGCGTAGGCGCAACAAAGAAACTTTTCTCTCTGGCAATAATTATATTTTCACGAGCATATTTCGTCGCCCAATCCGGATGTGTGCGAGTTTGTTGTGCGTGTATCATGAAAGCACCGAAAAAATGGCTTCGAAATGAATCCCATAAAAATTCAACTTTTCGGCTAGCGAGACTTCATTTGCATTTGTATGGACAAAAATCTGTGCGAGATCTTTGACCTTTTGCATGAAAATGGGCTATTTTCGCATTTGTTCTCTTTGTGTTTTTCATTTAATCGATTCTTTCGAATGGAAAATTTGGCTGCTAACAGCAGTACCAGCCTCATTTCTCCTATATCAAACGCTTTGGTTACGAACGAGTTGAAATTTGTTTGACTGTACGTTCGTTTCTCTTTTTTTCCTGCTTCAAAATGTGGAAAAATACAAAATGTGAGGTTATTATGGAGCCTAGGCACGATTACTCTTTCCCTATCTCCGATTGTTGTGTAGCGGAACAATAAACAACAAAATAAGAAAAAAACCAACAAAGTTTAAACAATCCAGGGTAGCATGAAACATAATGACATTGATTTTTTTTCTCTACATTCCATTTTCTTTTCGCTGTGTCAAAGAAAATTCCACAAATGTTTAGAACTTATTTTGTATTTACTTCAGCGCTGAATGTATTCAAAATGGATGGTTTCCACTTTTACTCCAATGGATTTATGTTTGTATGTTTGAGTGAGAAAAAGAATTGGTTAACATATTGCAGAGGAATCATAATTGGGACGATTTTGGGCACCGCAAACATAAATGATGATGATAAATGGCTAAATGATTGAGGGAATAGTTCTCTCTATCTCTCTCTCTCTCGGTTGTAAACCAAACAGATAATCACATCATAAATCCACTGTGTGTTGATTCCTGCTGTGTGAATCTTTGTTTATGGTTACTTATTCAGCAGCTGCAGCAGCAGTGGCCCAACTAATGCACTGCACTGGATGGCAATTGTTTCAGTGTGTCTCTCGAATCTGTCTGCAAACCGCAACGCCGTTGCCACAATTTACTTAATTGAATTAAATTGATATTGATTGTCAAATGCTTCTATAAAAATACACAACGAACCATTTTGCGCTCGAATATGCGATGGAACTGGACTGGTGAGGGAGCCAAAATGATGCCAAAGTTCATAAAATGCATCCGAAAATTGCAGTGTTGCATACTTTCTGATTAGTCGATCTAAGCGTAGAATCTCGCAAATGGTTTCGGTACAAATTAATCGCTTCCATTTTCGCCAAACGATGATTGATTCAATGTGAACACAATAAACCGAACCATAACTTTAACTCTTGTCAATAAAATAAAATACATTTCAAGTTCTTTGAACCGTTCAATTTCTAATATTTTTTTCTCTGTCCTCTTTTCCAGATAAACACATCGGCAGCAAAGAAACTCTGGGAGAAAGGTGGTGGAGTGTCCGATATGAAGTTGACACCGTTGCAGTTACACGGTGGCCCGGAGCAAGTTTGGCGTGATTCGACCTGGTCAACACAAGGTGAAGCCATTTTAGCACCACCTCGACGCTATCCACATGATTCCAATCCAAGTGCTGGCATTTTAAGGTAAGCCAACTCAACTCGGATTAACGTCCATTTTCAAAAACTTCGCTCACACAAAGTTTATTCTAATTGATGCGAAAGAGCTGCCAAGTCAATTTTGAGTCTTTAATCCATGCCGTCACCTTTGCTCCCATTTCTGCAACACAATAACAACAATGGCAACAGCAACAGCAGCCGTAATAAACACGGGATTTCATAGGTTACAGTGACATGTGTCACTTGAAACTGAAATTTCTAAAGAGAAAAAAATGGCAGTAAGCAGGGAGATGAAACATAAAAACAATAGAAAAGCCGGATATCCGGATCATGGAGCATGAGCATAATTAAATAATTCTCAGTCTTTCTGTATTTGCACACTTTAATTTTGTCTGTTTAGTTTTGTTTTTGTTGATGTTGCTGTTAAATCAAATCTTCTGTACCGTGCGCGAGTGAGCGAGTGAGCGAGAGAGAATGCGCGAAGCCGCTATATGTTTGTTGTCGTCATCGTAGCCATCAGTGTGGTCGTTTGCGCCCATTTACTGTGACACAGTCTTCACATGCAATTGTACTTGTCCATTTGAACGGACGCAATATTTCATAAAATGTGCCACATTTCGTTGACAACGAATGCAGAGGCAGGCAGGAGAGCGAGAGCGACCGAAAGAGAAATGAGAAAAAAACAAACCAATCGCACCGCAAAACGAAAAACAGGGTAATCTTCTTATCAGATGTTTTACGAAGCATTGAAATTGCACATGATATGTTTGCACAGCGGCAGCAGCAGCGGCTAAGAATAACAATGAGAGCGGTAGTGGCAGTGATGCATGTTCCCAATTTGCAATGCCAAAAATAAATATACTTTTTTGTAAAAAAAACGAGCAAAAACAAACGTAAAATGGGTTTAGATTTGTAATATACGATGTCAAGTCAAGAAAAGGAATCGCGTAAATGAAACCAACCGCGCGCACCAGACTCGTGTTCGTCCCAAAAACAAACCGACCAAAAACGAGAAGAATTTGCCATAAAAACGAAAATGAAATCGAAAAAAATAATGGTAGTCAAGAGAGTCCATGATTTTTGGCTGCTTTTTTTCTCTTTCGGTTGTTGTTGTTGTTGTTGTTTTTGCAATCTCATCGGGATCCATGAATATTTAGGCAATGAGCATACATGCACATGTAGCCTCGTGAAATGGAGCAGCAAAATTCAAACATTGGAGAATGAAAGAGAGAGAGAGTCAAACAAACACATAGGCGAGCAAAGTATGAGTATCGTCTCGTGCATGGAACTTTTCATTAAAATTTGGCTAAACGCCAAGCAAACTTGGTAATACAGTTCCGAAAGACTGGATAGATTAAGTTTGTTCACATCGGCCATTTGGGAAGTGACATGGAGACTTCACATCGACTATTCCATCGTCGGCGACTGTTTGTACTCACAACGCCAAAGTTCGGAGTTTGGCACATAAAAGGGAAGAGGAGACGTCTCTTCCAATTTGAAAATTAAAGAAAAAAATACCGACCGGAATATACAATTGGCTGTTTTTGCTCCATGGCTACGACTTTACTTTATTTAAACATCGTTTAGAAGTTTTTCGTGCTAATTTTACTTAAATTTCTCTCTTGCACTCTATCTCTTTCCCTTGCTCACTCCTCGTTCTGAGTCGACAACGGAAAAACGAGCCAAATTACAAAAAGAAAGCCTTATGAATATTCATTTTCCGTTTGTGATGGCATGAAATTCCGTTTTGTATACATACATGTGAACATTTATTTGTGTGCATATCGTTTTCATCGGGCAGCTGCAACGTTGCGCTTCAAACACAAAAAGCGCCATCTGCACATATTTGACTATTCAATGTGAACTAGCTGTCGTCAGTATCGTTGAGTCATCGATGCTCAATTTTGGGTCGTAAACGGTACATTGAAAATTATCATCGATACTGATGACAGCTAGTTCACTTTGAATAGTCAAATATGTGCAGATGGCGCTGTAAAATCGTTCACCACTGACAAACGTCAAATTAGTATGGAAAGATGTCAATGTTGCAGCCTCCCGGTTTTCATGACGTTTCTGTTTTTTGTTTTCATTGACTCTGATTTGTTGTTATTTTGAATATAATGCCCAGTTTATTTGTGCATTGTAGCCCTGTGTCTGCGACGAAAACAGCGGCTGCATCACTAGAACAATGCAAAGAAAAGAATAAAAAGAATGAAACGGTCACATAAAAGCCAGATAAGTGCAAGATAATCCAATGCAATTTGTAATCTAACGCTGGAAAGCGTCTGCTATTTATTTTATTTGGCTTTTTATTAGTTGCAGCGTTGGTCGTTTGTGGATCAGAAACATGGATATTGCTTAAGTGGATCAAAGACGAAGCACACAATGCAGACGAAAATTGAAAATGCTTCGCTTCAAGTGGATGTAGAGGGGCAAACAATAACAATAATAGTGAAAAAGAATCAAGAATTTCTACTGCATATTTATTTTGTTGTTTTTCTGTTGTATACACGCACAACAACAACAACAACAGCAGAAGAAAAACAAGAGAACAGAAAGAAAACTTGAGCGACTTGATTTGAGAATCCCTGCAATGCTCTTGCCCATTGTCTCCATGATAAACTTTTCTGGCGAAGTTTTTGAAATGTTTTCAGCTGTAATAACTTTAATTTCGTTTCATTTTATAAAATGTTGTCTCTTTTGTTCTCCAAATCTATTCATATAGTCCACGTGATTCGACTGGCGGCCTTGGGGTGAAAATGGTCGAATACGTTTTGGGTGGTTCGCCCACGAATAAAGAAAGCCCATTATCAAATATGGAATCTCGTCTGCGTGGCTTGAAATTCGATGAAAATGATAAGGTAAGTGAAAAATAACAGAAAAAAACCCTTTTTTGAAACGTAAACACGTCCGTTGGTTAATTATTCATTAAAAACGACATTTATTGTTCTATTTTCGGTACTCGCACAGACAAACGATGAGAAAGAAAAGCAAAATTCACCATTCGACACAAATGGCCTGAAGAAAGATGAACCAGTTTCAAATGGTGGCATCAACGGCATCGATGATGACAAAGGATTCAAGTAAGCAAAAATTCAATGCTATTCATTCAATAACAAACGCAATTGATATATCAACAAACAATGGTTTGGAGTAGAGCACACACACAGCAGACACGATAATTCTTAATGCAGATAAAATGAAAATCACGCGACGATAAAACAAACACGAGAAATACTCATTCGACATGCATAAGCAAATAGCATCTATTCGCTCGTTTTTTTGTTATCGACTATATCTGTCTCTATCCCGGCTTCTACGCGCATTTTTTCCACACCAACCATTCGCCGTCGGTATTTATTCATGCAAGACCTCTCATTCATACATTGCGATCGTGTTCGCACACCCATACATTGGATGCCGTTTACAGTCAACGATCAAAAGTGAGCGAGCGGGCGAGAGAGACGGAGCAAGAGAGCAAACAGTTTATTGAGCGGCAAAAGAGTTATAAATGTAAATAAATAAGAAAAACCGCATGTTTTTTCTCTCTATACTTAAACAAACGTTTGAAATAGTTAAACTCGCTTGCCTAACTATTTTCAATGTGTTCTAGCGTTGGCAACGCCACTCGCACACCAAGTCACGCCAAATAGATCACAACAATTTTCATGTGATCTGTGTGTATTTGTTTGCTCATGAGCGCAACTTTTATCGGTGTGTATTGTGTGAGCACGCGAGTAAGCAGAGATCACTAGCGACGACTACAACTACGATGAGTGTATGACGAAGTGACGTTCGTTTCGACTTTCGATGATTTTTCCGTGCGCTCGTTTTTGTATTGGCTTCACTCGATTACATCTGCCTCGGCTTCGCTGTTGATGTGTTGTTGTTAATTTTATTACGATTATTATTTTCGTCGTCGTCGTCGTCGCCACCGCTGCTGCCGCTATTACCGTATGCGTTTAGCATTGTTGTGGCATTGACATTAGTTTAACTGACTGGTTTTGTTCAAGGTCTATGCAAAACGATGCTGTACATGAAAGTACGCACACATTACGTACAGGAATTAAATTCGAAGCCGGTCGAATAGACTGAAGAGAGAGAGAGAGATAGAGAACGTGTGTGATAGAGAGTGTGAGTGCACGAGCGCACACGCGTTCCTTCGTATGACCGATCGACGGATGCGATTTGTTTATTGTTTTGTTTTACTGATTCCATTAAATTGTTTTGGTTGTTTGACCGAACGGCATGCTCTCCAACGGCGGGCACTGCACGATCGTTCAGGCACTTGAGAGTTCATTATTGTGCATCGCCCACGATTCATTCGGATGTAATGGGCATCCAATCTGTTGCCTTTTTAAAAGCGGCTTAATCAATGCCGTAATGATTTAAAATGGCCGCATCGTGTTCGCATCCAAAATAAGTTGTTCCGATGGAATTTGCAGCCAGTTCATAAACAATGGAAGATGCTTAATTTTTATCCATGCACCAGAAATAAATATAATTCGTGGCCTTGTTCCGTACAAACCAACGAACTTTAATAATTTTTGCAAAAATTCCACATCATCACTCTAATTATATCGATTGAATTTCTCGTGAGTGATTTCATTGAATAAGAAATCCAATAGCATTAAGATATTGTTTCACTTAATATGAGACTGCCTCATCGCTAGCATATTTTGGGTTTTGCTTCACTTGCGCTGATTTATTGCGTGCAAAAAAAAAGTCTAGATGAAATTGTCGAATTAGCGTTACGCGTGTCAAGCGTGCGTTCTATGCTGGAAAAATACAGCCAATTAAAGCGTCACATTGATTATGTACGGTCGGTCGAAATGAGTCATATAAACAACTTGGCAACGCTATTTTTTCTCTCTTTGCAAATGACATGATGCTTAAAGTGATAAAACAAGCTAAACAGAACGAATTGGACTCGCTGACATTCTTCAAAATATGCGAATATTTCTTCAGATGATGATTGAAATATTCGGCTTAAACTCCGGTACGAACGAATGAATTTCTCTTGTTTTGAGGGATTAACTAGGAATCTCGTTATGACCATTTTCCAAATAAATCATGGTGTTCGTAAACATTTTATGGAATGCTAAGCTCCATGCGAAATGGCAAATCAGCCCAGCGTAGAATGCATTGCAGCCAGCCAGAGCAAGTAAACAAAGAGCGTGTGTGTGTGTGTGTCGCGCGCGCTTTGCCGTTCAACAATTCCCATTCTGAAAGTGTATGTTAGATGTCACACGAATGAAGTACATAAATCGTTTGCGACGTCCGGGTATTAAATGACATGCAAAAGTGCCAAGGCACAAACACTTGGATAATATCAACGTCATTCCAACGTTGAATGGATGTGTTTGAGCATTTGAGAGCAAACGAGAAAGAGAGAGCAAGGAGGGAGGCATAGCGAACAATCACAAAAATCACACAGCGTTCGTTAATTCAAAGTCGATAATATTCACATGTGCATGTCAAAAGCGCGACTAGCTTGAACTTATTTTTTTTTTGTTGTAGCTGTAGCTGTGCATCGATTCCATTGGAGGCGATATGCGAGTACAGAACGTTGCGAAAAGTTAATGACCTTATTAGCTACATCTTTATATGCAGAGAATCTATATGTGATGTGTTTTAGCATTTAGACGGGCTGTCGCACGTCTCTTGATCGCACACACACACACACACACACACACGAGCTAATCCGATCCGATACTGAGTTGACTGTGTAGTGTTACAGGCGCACTGCACTCTGAGTGCCTTCATATGTACTATTTACGTTTAATTATCATTAACAAACTCTAAACCGTGTTTATTTGCACATCGGATGAAGTGCGATGTTCTTTTTTGTCATGTTCCACTTCACGTTTTCATGACGATGCCTAAGCAGAGATGCTTTCTATCTCGCTGTTTTTTCTCTCTATTCTATCTGTTTATATTAAACCTGTAATTAAATTCATTTAATGTGATTTCGTACGGTTACTCAATATTCTTGAGTATTTTCTTCGGGGCTTATGTAATCCGACTTTCTTTGCGTACGATTATCGATGTTCGACATTTTTTTCTCGTTTTCGTTTCACTTTTTATTTCCGTCGCCAATAGAATCTCGATCAATTTCTGGAAAATAAATCACTTTCAATCTTATTTTCGTTTTCTTCATTGATTCGCCAAGCAAATTGACTACATTTTTTGTCGCTTTTTATAGATGTTGAATTAAATTACAAAATGATTTGACAATTTGATGGAATTTTTTTCCGCTCTTTCGATCGCTTTTCATTTTCATTCTTATTCGACGCTAGCATTTCATGTCATTTTTTGAGAAAATGCATTCGATTTATGAGCCGCTGTTGGTTTTGTGCAATGTGAACGATTCGATGTGTGTGTGTGACATACAAATCATGTGCACGAAATCAAACTCATAAATCACAATCCCATTCACATATTCGCATTCAAGATATTAAAATGTTTTTTTCTACTAAATAACCAAGCCCTAAATCGAGTCACCGTGTGTGTGCGCGCTGCAACGAAGGCACAAAGCAACATCGACATATTCATGAAAGCGATTAAGTCATATTTTTTTCGTTCGCCCGAAGAAAACAGTTTTTTTTTGTGCGCTACCATAAACGATCGTTACTACATATACCGAGGTGCTTTGTAATATGCATAGATACATCCGTACTCTTGAGTGACTCGGGAGCAAAAAGAAGAAGAAGAAGGAGAAGGAGAAGCTGAGTGGCAACGTTTAAAGTGCTGTAAAACTGCGAACTCAGCAACAAAAATAATAATCTTTCGTCTCATAATAGATTTTTGCATGACGTGTAAGGTTTTTTTTTTCTCTGCTGCCACCTTATCGATTCAATTTTTACCACGATTCGCTCAGCATACTTGCCAGCACACTTTTCCCCATGCCGCAATAGACAAATGAATTGTTGTTGAATTTTTTTCCCTATTCTTTTTCCTCTGCTCATGCTGCTGTCGTCGTATTCTCTGAACAGTTCCCTCTGCATTATTCGCATGCTTTTTACGTTCAACATTGGGTGATCTGTTTTCTCCAAGCATTTTGTGTACGACGATTTAATCGGTAGTGAAATTAACACCTCATTCAAATGTGGTTTCAATTGGACTTGAGCGAAATCAACGCTGTGCAAATATGCTAATTGGATTCAATCCGCGCAAATAACATAAATTTTCTCTATCTTGAGCCCACTCTCTCTCTCTCTCTCTCTCGGGTCGTGTCGACTGATGGCTGGAAAAACAAGAGAGAGAGAGAAAGAAAAATCCCAATTGCATGTGAATGAAATACACACATACAAGAAAAGCAAACAAACAAATGCCCTACACAGTGAATGCTTAGCAGTGACGATGAGCCAAAGCGGCTGACAGTAGCTCACTCGTCTCTCCATCATGCTAAAACCAGAAAATGCATATACACACAATTCGCATTTTCTTTTCTTAGAATAAACAAAATGCAAATTACAGTTGTCCCCATGCAATTTGCACTGGCGACGCTTCCATTCCAAATGGGTGCAATGCGCTCAATACAAATACTTATTCATCCATGTTTGCACAAAGCCGATGTGACAACTATGTGGAAAATAACTTTTCCACCCAGAATAGAACGGAATAACAGGGCACACAGTACAGCACAGCATAGCACAGTACAAGAGAAAACGCGCAAATAAAAACGACAACAACGAAATTACGGCTATATGCATCTTGATAGCTGTAAGTGAAAACTCGAGACGCAATGGTTTGAAACTTGGTGTAATAGTCTCGTTGGCTTGTGTTCATTACATTCGATCAAAATACCAAGCCCGGCAAAGCAATAAACGAGCGCATAAGCAAAGAGACTGAGGATTTATTAACTGCTTTTCATCCATTTTGCCAAAGATTCTAATTGCCAAATGTTTGTTAATTTAAAATATTGAAAATTAGCATCTTCACTGGTAAAATATTTGGCTTTAACGGAAAAAAAATATTAACTTTCCTTTTGGACTCAATGAATGCATCCCATTTCATGTTATGTTATACATTGATTTATGTGCGAGAGAAAATGAATAAAAAATAAAAGTATACGTAATTCCATACATGGAGTATGAACTTCATTCGATGAAGTTGATGTGCTTTGCAAAGCTCATTCACAATGGTATTCACAATCGAGCACAAAAGCTTTGGCCATGAGCCCGAGCAGATGTGTTTCACCAATAAATCGCTAGATGTCGTTCGACGTGGTGTGTGCATGGGCTAAGCAACAAACAGTTCGACTTTTGCTCTGAATAAACATGCTGCGTTCTCCACAACGAAAATAACAATAACATAAATGTGGTGTCATGTGTAAACAAAGAATTTTTCGGTTATTCAAATGAAGAGATGACGTGTGGTTTTATTCTATTCTACCAGAAAACGTAAACAATATAATAATTCCCATGGAGCAAACGGGTATCTATTGTATACGTAGAATGTGAATATTTGCGATTGTCCTTAATTAAGTTTTAGCTTAAATAGGCAAAAATGAAGTCGATGTTGAATAGTTGCGTTGTTGTTTGTCTAAAATAGACAAGGTTTATTATTAATAACGAACAAGAGATAGCGCTGGTAATTACAGTCTACATTTCAACTAAACCAGACGTGTTTTATTTACTTGCTCTACCACTTGATTGCAGCCGTTAACATTGTTGTTGTTGTTGTTGTTGTTGTTGTTGTTGTTGTTTTTTTGCACAATAAAATGCTCAATGTTCAATGATTCATATCTTTTTCAGCCGTACACCTGGTTCACGTCAACCATCACCAGCCGATGAAACAATATCTCGCAATCCACAAATGCTGCTCGATCCGACCACAAACAATTTCCATCAGCAACACTTTCAGCACATGCTGAATACGAACACCAACATGGACATGCCGTATCATCCACCACTTCATCATCAGATGCAAGGACCAGTTATGAATGGTGGCCTCCAAGTGCCGCAGGTATAATTTATCATATTTTCACTCGTAATTTACACATGATCACTAGCCTGCCAGACAGGTTACGCATTTCTTTCGCTCTGGCTCTCTCTTCCTCTCTTTCCCATTTCACCAGCAATGTTGGTCGAATACCATACTAGCAAGTGCGACCAACACCAACAGCAAGTAACTCTTTTCGTCTCCCTCCCCAAAAGGAAAATTCTATTTCACTTTTTGGAAATGCGAATCCTTCCTGTCAGATTCCGTATCGGATAATAAATCATTACAACCGTCTGCGGGTTGATATTTTCCTGAGCTAGCATTACCCAGTGGTTTAAAGAAAAATAGGATTACTCTATTTTATATTCTGCCAAGCATTTAGTTTAAACACAGAGATTTGACCATTTCCCTCGCCGGTCATGTAAATAAATGACTTTGCGTTTGGAGTGCCATTTCATTTTCTCCGGTTGTGGCTTTTGAGTACAATTCCACGTGCGTCATATTCTATCGATCGGCCATCGTCATCCGGGATAATAATTCGTTTGGTGTTCAACTAAGTGCAAAAAGGCAATGCAATTACAAATGATTGGATTGTTCAAATGGATAATTACAGTTTCTAATTGAAACCTATGCGGACGGCACATGCTTAGGCTCACACACACACACATATTCGTGTGGCTGTATTAATTAGCGAACGGTCTCACTTGATAGTGGCTAAATGAATCAATGTTTGGTTAATCTTTTTAATCGCATTTTCATTCGATGTTCATCCCCTTCAACCCGACGAGTACAACAATCTGCTCCGCAATTAGCATGGATCGATACAAACTCGACCGCAATTATTGCTATCGCAACGCTCTGGCAAAATGTTGAACTTTGTTAATAATACAAATTGACGAATATTGATGCCATTGCGGTGTGGGAGAGAGGGGAAGAGAGAGGCCGACCGCCCAATTTGCAAGGCACGGCATTGCTATCCGAAGAAAATTCACACGAAATTCATATTCCTCCTTCACCCACACACACAGAATTCGCAAATGGTGAACCAACCGCAAGGACACAACTCGATGGACTCATCGGCCGCTTTATTGCAGCAACAGCACAATTTTGATGTACAGGTAAGTGGTTTTCTACATTCTCACACATTTCATGCCCAACAGCAATGGGAATTTTGATCAAACAAGTCGCACCGAGTCACACACAATCTATTATTATCTCGACGCAAGTGTAACAAACCGTTTTTCTCTCCTGGCTGTATGAGAATCACGTGCGTCTTCACAAAAGTATTCCATGCTGTGCTGTGCCGTTAGCGAATAAATTAAAAATAATCAAGTTTGAGTCACAAGCGTAAAACAAAACAAACATTCGATCGACACATACACACACACACACACACACACACGATTTCACTTATTTGACTTCCATTTTCCACGGAAATAAGTGACTTTTCGGGTCGTGAAACTTGCGTTTCACTTTTGGAGTTGTTTTGTTCTCGTTTTCCGGCAACCGTTCGATTGTTTACTCAATTATGCCGTTCCCCAATTCGCACAAAATGTTTATCTTGTGTTTTATTTTCGTTATTTTTTCTCTCTCTCTCGTCAGCTCATCTATCGTCAGCTAGTATATAGTATCACGTTAGTGGCGTTCGTCATTCACAAGCTTTGATTTGTTTGAATTTCATTATATTCTTGCTTATGCTAATGTTAGTTCTGCCGTTCTTATGGCTGATAGAATAAAAAAATGCCGAAATCACTTTTTATTACAACGAGAAAGCGAAAATGTTGGCAAAATGAGAGTGATTTATGCGTTAATTCATCAATTTTCTCTTACACAACTCGCTTCACAGCTGACTCGTTGAAAATGAGAATTGTCCCTTGATTCAAATTTGTCTACACGCTGCGAAGCGGAAGCGATAGACTCTCAACGGGACGAAATTAGTTCATGTCCATCACAATTTTTCATTTAACATTTCTTTTATCTTTGCTGCCTTGTATTCCACTACGATTTACTCCTAGATCAAATATTAGGAAACTATTTGCCGTTGCCATTGCTGCTGTGACTACTGATGTTCCATCCGCCAGTATCACTGGGGCAACGCTCTACATTCCAAGTGTTGGCGTTTTTTACAATTTGCAATGTCGATTCGACACAGAAATAGCAATATTTATTGTTCGCCGACCGAAAGAAACAATAAAACAAATAAAAAGAATTACATTGGTAATCCCGAACTTTTCCGTACCGTTGGCCTGCGTTGTCCGTAGGTACTTTAAGTTATTTTTTGTGAATTTTCTTGAAATAAAGGCAGTGAAAATATAATAAAGAAAATAAATTAAAAAATCGGTCACTTCAACTAAAACTTCGACAATTTTGTATGAGAGGTACACGTAAACCGATTCTGATTAGCTTCAAACTTTCTGAGGTTTCATTTTTTGGAGAAAAAATAAGATTCTGAAAGTTTCATGTTGATCGCATTTGCAGAAGTTTGATTTTTTGTCCTCAATTTTTGTCGAAATTTTCTTGGAAAAAATTGAGGGCCAAAAACCAAACTTCTGCAAATGCGATCAACATGAAACTTTCAGAATCTTATTTTTTCTCCAAAAAATGAAACCTCAGAAAGTTTGAAGCCAATCAGAATCGATAAGCGGGTACCTCCCATATAAAATGGTCCAAAAATCGGTAATTTTAGTCAAAATTTCAAAAAAATTGTATGGGATACCGTAAATCGATTTCGATTGATTTCAGAATCTTTTTTTTCTTGAAAAAATGAAATTCCAGAAAATTTGAAGCCAACCGGAGTCGATTTACGGGTACCTCCCATACAAAAGTGTCAATTTTTTGAGGTTTTTCTTAGGGCAAGTACCCCGAGATCAAATCGAAAATGGCTCATCTTCGAACTTAAACTAAGTTTTTCGGATACAAAACTTTTGGGACTTTCAGATTTGGATTATCTCAATTATTTTTTGAGTTATCGTGTTAACAAACACCAACGACAACGACGACAATGACGACGGTACACGAACGGAAAAGTGTCTCAAAAAGTGGTTTTCTACGCGTTTCATGAGTTTTTATGATGATCTAAGCTAATATATACTAATGATACTTTCTCTTGACACGATGTGTACGGAAAAGTAAAACAGAAGCAGCAACAAAGTATGCAAAAATACACCAAGCAACGAAGGCCATTTGTCACCATAATTCATGCCCAATTCCATTATTTATTATGCATTCAAACCAATCTGTTTCTTTTTATGAGCAGTCTCAATTCGATCTTGGTATGGAAATCTTGACGAATTCGTTTATATTTTTGCTACTCACAAAATGGAAGTGTGGCTAATCCGGACCACTCACTATTTTACACTTGAATCAATATGTTAATGCTCTGATCCATTACATTATACGTGATTTTTGTCTGTTCACTTATCCATTCCATTATCGAAGTCCATGTCACATATAGAAAACCGTTGTCAATTTCATGAAAACCCAGTCTCGGACAGAAATTCGAGTGAGTTTTCCATTTCGCTTCGATTTGGTGTCAATAGTGCAATTTCTGTTGTCTTTTCAATATGGCTTATTTCAGTTGATTTTTTCATTTTCCATTTATTTCTCTATGTTGGTTAGAAAAATAGAAACATCTGGTGTGTCATGGCCTATGTTGGAAAATGTGACAATTTCAATTTGCCACACATTTCTGTTCGGTTGTCTGAGCTTGACTTATTTTTAGTATGAAGAAAAAAAACGAGCGCACATAAAACCTCATTAGATCTTAGATGAGATGGTCATTTTTTGTGAAAATACCTTCAATAACGCCAATAGCTCGTAAAAAGGTGATTTCTCTTTATCACCACCACCATCGGATGAATGGGACTTCACTCGTAATCCGTAGCTTTCATTCAAGATTTCCGTCTTCATTTATTTAATCTTACATTGAAACTGAGAGCAATATCTCATTTTTCAATAATGATCCTTTCAATAAAGCGCTAATAATGTAGCTGCCATTCATCAATTGGCAACATTGCTAATGAGCTAAGGATGTGGACGTTTCACATGAATTGATGACACACATTTGACATTTGTTCGCCTCCGACTGGCTCAAAAGATTAAAGGATTCCGATTTTCGCACTACGAACTCACTAATTGAATTTTGCGTTAAAAATGATAGAAATGGATGAGATAATACACTTTAATGCGAAATTGAAATGGATTCCTCAAATTCCGGCCGCAAACTAGTTGTGAAAGAAAATGGTGCGATAGAAAATGAAAAGGAAATGAAAAGTCAGCATCAATTTATTAATTTAATATTGTGTCACATGGTTTTCATCGAACGATGATTGAAATGAGTTGCGAGAGAAAAGATTCAACGTGAGTTATATATTCGTCAGTTGCATTGATAGAGTTGATGAGCCCACACTTTGAACAGTGTGTATAAAAATAATAGAAGCCAACGTTGATACGCGCATTCTAGCGCATTCCAATGGAGAATGTGCCTGTATATTGTGCGCCAGCGATCAGTGTATGTCATTCACGCAGTGAGACAATTTCGAAATGAACTTTTCGGATTGCGAGACTATTTTTAAAAACACATTAGAATGTTGATGGCTCGGACAGGTCTCTCGCGTCACTTTGCCTGCAAGCAATTCCATTGAGCAAGGGGAAAAAAGAGACAGAGCCGAAACGGTGTCACATGTCAAAACAAAACGGATTTTTTTCTTTCGCGTTCCTCATTTTGTCTAGGCACGACGAGCGGCGAGCCAGCAAAACAACAATTTCACTCGTCCGGCACACAATTTTAACACTTTTCCGAAAACACAACTGATTTCAGAGCGTTCGAGCATCGATCATCACGGCAAAAACACATGTGTGTCACGGTTTGCATACCAAACAATCGAAAAACAACAACACCGTCCAATTGAAATAGCCGCACTCACGTAGACTAGAGGCTAACTAATTAGTTGTTGTGAAAATGCGCTGTGAAAATGACTGAAGTCCGAAATCATTATTATCGGTGGATGCGCAGGCACGCATCGGTGCGACACAAAGAATTAGTCGCGACCGGCCGTAAATCAAACCGAATATGAAACGATTGAAATAGATTGAAATACGGCGAAAAATAAAAGCGCATCAATTTTTAATTCGCTCATTCTCTGGTGAAAATGATGATTCGCTTGATTATTTTGTTTGGCCGTATCATTTGGTTTTTGTGAGAATCACCAACCGAGCGAATCGCAACCGGTGGAAGTGAGGTGAATAATTTATTCAATGTGAATGTGTTTTCTCCTCTTACCCAAGAGAAAGAGAGTAGTCTATGAGCTGCGTTCATGAAAATTATGCTGCTATGTGCATAATGACCGTGTTTCACGATCAACGATCAAAAACCGAGCATTCCGATTGAATTGCAATTGAAGCGTGTGTGTGTGCACTGTGCACGCCGTGCACTGCACGGCACATGCAAAGTGTAAAGCCGAAATAGAGAAGAAACCAAAACGCAATCCGATGCCGATTTAGAAACGGTCATGGTCACATATTTATGGTGAAAATAAATTAACTGAATGAATGAATGAATGCAGTGTTGTGTTGTGTTGTTTAGGGCTCGTTTGTTTCTGTTTTGTTCGTTTTTTTGTTGTTGTTGTTGATGTTGCTCTCCGGTTGTGTTTCGACCATAAAAGGGTAATATTCTGTCTATAAATCTCTTGCTCGGAAAGCAGATTGGAAATTGAATTCGAAATCAGTTGTGTTTTTCTTTTGCATGCAATCGCAGTGAGTGAGCCTTTAGCTTGCACTCCGATTATTGTGCACGTTCGTTACCTAATTATGAATGCGTAATGCTCGTCGCACATACTCTTCATCGTTGAGAAAGCACCAAATGCTTGCCTGGTCCTATGCATGAACGCATCACTTGTGTTCTAGGCATTTAAGTAACACCTCATTTTTCCTTAACCGAACGAACGCTGTGGTGTGTGTATGTTTCACTTTTTCTCTCCACTTCTATCTTTTTTTCGTTTCGCTCTTTATTCCTTTTGATCGAAATGTGTTTTATTTTTTTTTCGTTTTTGAATGGCATGTTGTTGAACGCATCGTTGGCATTGTGAAGATGTTGCTGCGCTTGGGTTATTTTGTTCTT